TTCGTTTCTCTCTTCCCGTTCTTCGGTGGATAATACACCGGTCGAAATACGGTCGTTTGAAAGTGTTTTGTGCCCGTTGGCTGCGGCAGTTCCTTTTATTCCGAGAAACTTTTCGTCAGTGTACTTTTCTCGCGTGTACCGCGTTGCGAGATTGCACGTTTAAATCTCTCTCTCTCTCTCTCTCTCTCTCTCTCTCTCGCAAATTTAAAAGAAATCGTATTAACACATCGCGGTCGTCACGCTTGCGTGTCCGTATTTGCAATCCTTTCTCCTTTCTTTGTAGAGAGCGTCGATGTTTCTTTGCCCGCGGGATACCGCGTTCGCCGATTTGTATATTGAAACAGCAAACACTCGGATACGCTTTAATAACGCGTCGCGACGGCTCGACTTATTCAGAAGTAAAAGTCGCGGCACGCCGTTTGTCGAGTCGTTCTGGAAATTCCGATACTTTATTGTACTGAAGCGGAGCTTTCAATTCTCCTTTGTTGCTTGCGTTCTTTCCGAGAGAGTCTACGGCGCGTCACGAACTTTCGATAAATTGTAAATACCACCATCGGGCGTTCCGTTATTGAAAGACAGTCGCGAACTGATTGCCGATTGCTTTCGTACCGTTGCGATTTCCCGTAGCGCGCTCTTGCTTAGACTTTTATTACCATCCATCTGAAATCTCTCTCTCGTAAATTCTCGGTACGCGTAAAAATGATACAACAAAAATTCCTCATGTTATTACTACGAACACAAGTTTGTGATAATTGTATTTGTTTGGCACTTGTTTGACCTTCCTCGTTTTTATCTGTTTCTTATTTGGATTTTATCAATATAAAGCCAAAAGCTTTCTCATAGTATTTTTGTATATTTATTATTTTTCTATCGTTTTTAAAACGTATACAAAACACTACATGCATTTGGTGTGTATCTATTCATAGATAGCGTTATATCTAACAACGGATTCGCTCTGTGTATTTTCAGTCGGCAGTGATAGACTTGTTTGGTAAACGGATGCGGATCTATTTTGCACTAGACTTGCACATACCGTGGCCGCACACGGCGCGTCTGATACGTAATACACGACCGAAAAATCCGATATAAATCGAATCACCGTAAAGCACAGTATTGTTTGACATAGTATATGTTGTACGTGGCGCAACAATAGAGTGTCGCACAATACTTGGTAAAATCTCACGGCTGTGCAGCTGTGAAAATCATGAGTTGTGAAATCATGGCCGACTATTTTTACACGCTCGTCAATTGCGCGTAAAAAATAAAGTTTCAATTCGAATAAAAATATAAATATGATAAAACCAATAGTTACTTGAGGATTACGCAAGGTTAATTTATAACGTACGAGAGAGAAAGAGAAAAAGAAGATAGGAATTGAGAGAGAATCACGCTAGTGAAGCTTTTGAGTCGCGGAGTCGGTCACAAGGTTTTTTAAATTTGCTATTGTTCATCCTAGCGTACTTCACACAAAGAAGCCGCGTTTCGCCTATGGATCGCCAAGAATTAGAAGAATTTGATAGGACGAGATATCTCGAAAATGAAAAGCGAAATTCACGTCGGCGTCATTGTGCGCGTGAACTCGGGCGTTTCGTTAATTAGAGATAATAGAACAGTCACAGCGAGATTTCACGCGCATATTTATACGGATGACTTTGCCTGAGGTATTTCAGAAGTCACGGCACTGTCGCACGGAAGAGACTGGCCAGTTTCCTTTGACCCCACGGTCGTTTTAATCCCTCTCTCCCTCCGGGCAATTAATCCCTCTTGCTCGATTAAACTCTTATTCTAGCTTTAATTAAAACTTCTTTCTCCCCCGCCATTTCCAGGCGCTATTCCGCCCGATAAGATTGCGCATCGGTGACGCGCAAGAGATTCGCCTCTTACATGGAAACTGAATCTGCCACTAATTGATTTCCGAATCGGAAACGAAAGTTTTTAGCGGAAGGACGAGGTGGGATTACTTTCGGACTACGAGATCCGTTGAGAAATATAAGTATATTGTACAGCGTTTCGAAAACTTGTATAATTCTTAAATATATAATTGTTTGTAAAGTTCTGAAAGAAGACTGTAAGTAATTATAATACATACTGACAATATATAAACGAGAAGAACCGCAATATATGCGATCAAAATATATTAAAATATACACATTTTGAAAAAAACAAAAAACCTTGATTAATCTATAGCACGTCTCTCTTTTAGCCTTTATTGCCAATTTTATATCTCAAAGCGTTAGAACTTTCCTTTTTAGTTTTAATTTACGTCTGTTCTAGTCTGAGGATGCGATGTGTAGCGCAACCGACGAGAGTTTTTAATACGGCGAATCCGTTCGAACATTAGTTGATAACGAAGCAGATGTGTGCTGAGAAATAACAGGTTCGTTTCTGGGAGGTACCAGAGTGAAATTGCGTATATTTTTGCCCGGAGGAAATCTTGTCGGATATCTCTACGATACCTATTATTGGAGCTATAACGATCCACGATCGCTGTTATAACGATTTTAATTAAACGTGACTTCGAGGAGCCTTCACGCGTAATCGAGCGACAAATTAATTGCAGTTTGAGAAAACGTTTGATCTTTTCCTGATTCGGCGACGCTCGGATGCGTCGTATATATCGCGTACGCGAAAAGTAAGTCGTGTTTTCACCGGCAAACGCATCGTTTCGTTGTTATTATATTGAATACTTACAAGAATTGTTTCTTTTCTTAAAATAAAGAAAAATTTGAATGAAAAAAATTAAAATATCTGCCGATGCAAACACATACACACTTTTACTCAGAACCCTAAATGTCTTAACACATGTGGTATGCATATGCACAGAGCAGCTAGTACCTGCCTTCTTTTCTTTTTTTATAGTTCTTGAGCTCGCTCGGTCCCATAATCGTACAAAAGATCACGAGAACATAATGTAAACCCTTGTTTACACGGCTACAAATTTTTGCAACGATTGATTTTACTTATTTTTTTCGCAGATGCTCTCGTGAAATATGGCCCTAAAGGATCTTTTCTTGTTTATCGTAAACTTAAACGTCCGTGCTTTAAATCATGTCTCGCTCATTTTACAAGACGAAAAAAAACTTGTGCGCAGACGATCTTGCTTCTATGAATGTTGCTTTACCGCGCAACTAATAATTCACAATATTTTCCGAAAGGATTCCTCCGAAAGTTACAACAAGTCTATGTTTTGTCGTCTATGCGTCAATTAAGCGAATGATCCGTCATTCGTATCGCGTAACAAACATTTGATACGGAACGCGAATGGGACGCGCAGAGGTGTATACATGGTCTGATGGTTATTTCTCGTCGAAGTTTCCGATTAAGTGACACTTCATATGAATTAATGCCTCGAGGCGAAACCAGCGGAGCGCAGGCAGGTCCAGGCGAGTCGAGTCGCGCGAATATATTCTGCGGAGTCGAAACCGCAGCACGACCGTGGCCACCGAGTTACAAACTATTTCGAGTCCTCATCGATCAAGTCGAAAGTCGCTTGTCGGCCGAACAAGCATGAATCAGCGAGGCTTATTGAACATCAGACATATCCGGAGTTCTCTCGAATCGCCTCCACGATCTGCAGATCGAGAGGCTCTCGACGGAGGAAGCGGGCGATCGTTGTTTGTTGGTTTTGGAGGCAGGGAAGAAAGAGAGAAGAAAGAGAGAAAGAAGATCCAGTAGTGGGATTGGCGACCACTTAAAAATTGATCGAATCCTTTTTACAACCGACGCGGTCCGTGTCGGGGTGGATGCTCCGAATATCGCGGAGTCCAGAAGAAGACGCGTCGCGTCTCTTCGGCGCGAGAAGAAGGAAAGACCGGTTCGCAGTTCTTCGTGCAAGTTCGGCAATCGAATCGCAATGTCGTGCACACCGGCTTCTCTTCCTCTTCGTCTCTTTCTTTCTCTCCCGTCTCTTTCTCTCGATCGCTTGTCCCTGTGTGCACCCTTCGGGCGATGCTGCGGTGGCAGTCGGGATGAGTATGCGCTGCGTGTGCGTGAAGACGAACGCTATGTTCTCCGCCCTCTCTCGGAATAGTTTCTCCTATGAGCAGAAGCAGTTCTCCTTCTCAAATGAGATCTCGAGCGAGATGGAGACGGCTGGTAAAGACCGGCGCAAGACGTCAGTCCCTTTCCCGTTTATCGTAGAATGTCCACGACTCAGGTAACGCACGCACGTAAATGTTACAATTAGTTTTGGACGTGCATCAAGTCGCCATATCCTCCATGTAATATCTACTTCACTTAGGTAAACGAAAAACTCGCGAGTATGTACAGAAACTTGGTTCCGCTTAGTATAGTTCTGCCAACGTTACACGATGTTGTAACGCATCATTGCATCCTTGGAATGTATTTAGAAATTATCACACACAAAAACATTTAATCATCTGTAATTAAGTAAGATAAATCAGATTTTACATAGAAATACGTGTTAAATAGTATGTACACATGAAAAACGTTAAAACGCACAGGATCATCTTCCTTTTTGATATTTATTCGTATCGACGATAGTGCACGCGTCGATATTTTTCTTTTTCGACGCTAGTACGGATATCGATATTTTTTGCCGAGTCTAATAACGAGTAAAGTGTCGATGCTTTTTTCCAATACCATGTCCCCGGGTCTCGCCCGTCCCAGGACCGGGGGAATGGCGAGAAGATACAGACAGGTTGCGTGCAATGTCCGCTCGTTCTTCTCTCTATGCGCGCTCGCTCGCTCGCTCGTTCGTTCGTCCGTCGCATGTCCGTCGATCGCGTGTAATGGTAACGGCCGTGTGCGTGCGCGCGTTACACCAAGCAAGAGGAGCGCGAGAAAGATGCGCTCGCGTACGAAACGCAGGATGTCCTCGTCCTACCCCGAGGTCCTGCGGTAGGCGCGTGCTCACTCCACTTGGGTGCCGCCGCTCGCCGCCGCTATGTGTGAGTGCTGCCGCCACCGGTCGGTGGGGATAGAAACGATTGGTGGACGCTGCGTCGAGTTAGATGCTGAGGAGATCTCGCTCGTCAGTCGTGCGGTGGCCGTCGTACCGAGTACTGTGATCCTCGGCGTCTTACGGAAGACGATCTCTCTGCTACGTTTTTCTCTATCTTCGTCTATCTTCGCATAAAAACTTAGGTGAAATTAATTTTCTTTCACCTTCGCAACAATCATGAAAAAATACCAACTGATTATTTAAATGGATTCCCTTGAAAACGTGTTTGCTCGACATCGACGAGAAGATAGTGCAATGCGCGGGATTTTGTAACAGCACATTTCGGAGCGCGGATCGAAGAGTTTGTACGACAATGTCGCGCGGATGAGAACGGAGCACGGTCCCTCTGGACGCAAGTAGATGTCATAACGAAACGCGATGGTAGTTCGTCAGCAAACCAACGTGAGAGGATAACATTCTGATATAGGGTTGATGCTTGTTAAAGCTACGTGACGTGATTTCTGCAATCGCACTGTCGGTTGTTTTGGAAAGAGTAAGTCGAACAGGAAGATTGAAGAACATCGCGAATAATAGAGTAACTTCTTTATTAAAAAAAAAAAAAAGCTACTGAGTATTTGAAAAAAATTATATTAATCGACTTCCACACACATCTGCCATTTAAACTAAGTAATCCTAGAGTGTAAACAATTCTGCATCATTTAGTTGAAATTGCATGTTAATAATCGTGATAATTAGTACTTTCGAAAACTGCTGATACAAAGCGACTGTCTTCTTTAGTGAGCGTTTGAGGTGTCGAACAATAACCGCGTTCACCGTGTGATCGAATTTAAGTGAATTTTGTTTCACCGCGACGGAGCAAACGGTGCGGCGGTTTCTCTTTCTCTCTGTGATACATTCCAGTCAGACTTCCGTATAATAGACAGGCAGCTGACAATATTCGAGTGACGCATTTGTTGCGCAGCGTGTGATGATTGGAAGACACAAAACCGGTACCAAGCGCGGGCAACGAGTTCACTAAAGATGCGTGGGCTCGTCGGTCGGCACGAAAGTTCCGGGAGAAGATCGCTGTTGCTTTTGTTGGCCTGTTATTGCCTGTTCGTACCAGTGTACCACGTGCTTGCCATTACAAGCGAGCTGCCGCCTAGGCTCGAATTGCCAGACAATTGTTCGTGGGACTTACGACAGGATGGCGCGCTTACCTGCGTGCATCGTTACGCAGGTAACGACACGATCCGAACGCACTTTTCTCAGGTCACCAGCGAATTCGTGACCTCGATGGACGTTGTTTGCGAGGGTTCTGGAGAAGAAAACGATAATACCGTTCATAACGTGGACAGTTTTTTTCATTTATGGCGATTGCGGTCGTTAAACTTGACCGGATGCAAACTGGTACGCTGGCCAGCCAAGTTACTCAGCGGTTTGCGCGACCTTCGTAATCTGACCATTCGAACACTGAATGAACACAAATACAGTTTGGAAGTTGAAAACGGCGCTTTCGAGGACACGTCGGAAATCGAAAAACTCGATCTGTCGTTGAACAATATCTGGCAATTACCTGATCGCCTGTTCTGTCCTTTATCGAATTTAATAACGTTGAACATCTCGTGGAATACGCTAAAAGACATCTCGGAACTCGGATTCGGCGATGTTAGCCAGAAGCTGCCGAAACGTCAACTCGAATCGACCGCGGCTCCGTCTTCGTGTCCGCTGGATGTGCATTCGTTGGACGTGTCGAACAATCAGATCTCTATGTTATCGCACTATGGATTCTCATCGTTGAAACGTCTCAGAATATTGAATTTATCTAACAATGCGATCTCTATCGTGGCCGATCAGGCTCTACATGGGCTCAAGTCTCTGGAGAGCCTCGACCTGTCCGGGAACAGAATTGTCGCTCTGCCGACGGGAATGTTCCGAGATGTGACGAAGACGCTGACAGAACTGAGATTGCAGAACAATTCCATCGGTATACTGCCGCCCGGTTTGCTGGTTGGCATGAATCAACTGGTCACGCTTGATTTGTCGAGGAATGTCTTGACCAGTTCGTGGCTGAATTCATCGACGTTCTCCGGTTTGATACGCCTCGTGCTCCTCAACCTGTCTTACAATCGAATCAGCAGGCTGGATCCGGCGCTCTTCAAAGATCTCTATACGCTGCAGATTTTAAATCTTCAGTTCAATGAGATAGAAGTGATACCGGCGGACACATTCTCGCCGATGAGCAATCTGCACACCCTCGAACTCGCGCACAATCGTTTGACTTATCTCGATGCTTATTCCCTTAACGGATTATTCGCGCTCTCGCTGCTGGCCTTGGACTCCAACCTGCTCGAGGGTATTCATCCGGACGCCTTTCGGAATTGCTCGAGCATGCAAGATTTAAACCTGTCCGGTAACCGTCTTGAAAGCATACCGGTGGCGCTAAAAGACATGAGAATATTGCGGGCCCTTGATCTCGGTGAAAACCAGATCAATAGTCTTAGAAATCCTGGTTTTCGAGGAATGTCAAGCTTGTACGGGCTAAGAATGATGAGTAACGAGATCACCAATGTTACGAAGGAGGACTTCGTGCAATTGCCGGAGTTGCAGATTTTAAGTCTGGGCATGAACAAGATCGATTTTGTGGAGGACGGCGCGTTTGCTGCCAACCCGAAGCTACAAGCGATTCGCATGGACTCAAATTTGTTACAAGACATGTCTGACATTTTCGCGAGTGCGCCCGATCTCCAGTGGTTGAACATGTCTGACAACATGATCACAAAGTTCGATTACAAATACTTGCCTAAGACATTACAATGGTTAGATCTGCATAAAAATCTTATTACGGATCTCGGCAACGCGCCACAAAATATGAGTTTGAAGACTCTCGACGTGTCGTTTAACCGGCTAACAAGAATACATCCTTGGTCGATTCCGGATTCCATCGAGCTTTTATTCGTCAACGATAACCAGATCTCTTCTGTGGAACCGCAGACATTTTCCACGAAAACAAATCTCACTCGAGTGGATCTTTATGCGAATATGATCGTCACGATCAACATCTCGGCACTTCAGCTCACTCAGGTGCCACCTAACAGGCAACTTCCGGAATTTTACATCGGCGGAAATCCCTTTGTGTGCGACTGCACCACGGAGTGGTTGCAAAGGATCAATTCGCTGACGTTGAGACAGCATCCGAGAGTGATGGATCTCGAGTCCGTTTACTGTAGACTCCCTTACGACCGCTATAAGTCGTTCATGCCGCTCATGGAAGCCAGACCTTCGCAATTTCTTTGTACTTACTTGTCGCATTGTTTCGCTCTCTGTCATTGCTGCGCCTATGACTCCTGCGACTGCGAAATGTTGTGTCCGGGAAACTGCTCGTGTTATCATGATCAGTCCTGGTCGGCGAACATCATCGACTGCTCTAATTCGGGTCACACAACTCTACCAGATCGAGTGCCAATGGACGCGACGGAGATTTATCTCGACGGGAACGATTTCTACGAGTTGAACTCTCAATCGTTCGTAGGTCGAAAAAATTTACAGGTCATCTACGCTAACAACAGCAATATTGTCAGAATCTGTAATAGCACTTTCACCGGCTTGAAACGACTGCGGGTGCTTCATCTGGAGGACAACAAGATAACCATGCTCAATGGCGTGGAGCTGATGCCATTGGAGAATCTGAAGGAACTCTACTTGCAGAATAATGTGTTGACGTATATTGATAACGGTACGTTCGTGCCGTTACGTCAACTGGAAGTCTTGCGTCTGGAAAACAATCGTCTCGGCACTTTCGCTCTCTGGCAGCTGGGACAAAATCCATATCTGGTTGAAATCACTCTGTCCAGGAATCCGTGGAATTGCGAGTGCTCGTATTTGGACCGCGTGCGGGAGTGGATGTCACACAATCATCAAAAGATCAATGATTGGCGGAGCGTCACTTGTTCTCTCGGCATGCCCATCACCACTCTGCCGGCCAACGGATCGGTCATAAATTGCGCGGCTCTGATGGGCACGACCTCCGTCGTCGAGACGCGACCGCTAGACGCTTATCTGTCACTGCTATTAGCCACGGTCGTGCTGATACTAGCGACGGTGGCGTTAGTATGCGGCGCTTTCAAACATCGTCGCATTCTGAGAGCTTGGGCAGCGGGTAGATGCGGTTTACGAGTATGCTATAAAACTGCCGCTTTCGAAGACCAGGAGAAACCGTTCGATGCCTACATCTCTTACTCCGCGGTCGACGAGTCGTTCGTTTCGACGATCCTTGTGCCGGGTCTCGAGACCTCCTACAGGCTGTGTTTGCACTATCGAGATCTCGGCGCTGGTAGTAATGTGGCAGACGCCGTGGCCGAGGCAGCTGACTCTTCAAGACGCACGATTCTTGTATTGTCAAAGAACTTTCTACACGGCGAGTGGTCCAGGTTCGAGTTCAAGTCAGCCCTGAGAGACGCTCTTAAGGGTAAAGGCCGCTCGGTGATTTTGCTTCTGGTGGGCGGTGTGTGCCCGCGTGATCTCGACTCCGATCTCAAAAAGCGAATTTCGTCGCACACCGTACTGGTATGGGGGGACAAGTTGTTCTGGCAAAAGTTGAGGTTCGCCATGCCAGACGTGTCTCCCATTCCTCTCCTGGAGAGACCACTGCCTCTGCCGCCGCCGCCGCCACCCCCAGCGCATCATCAATGGACGTAGAACTGCCGTTATTTAGGTAAGACGGTCTTCATTCAGTTTTAGAATAAAAACGCACGCACGTTGTTTGTCACAAAGTGACGTTTGCTTTGTGCGCGCTTAGATATGATTTTACACTCGCCATAACAAAATTTCGTAATTAAAAACATTTGTTACGTATTTCACACGCTTAATTCATATAATGCAAGTTAGGATTCAATAAAGAACAGGCTCGCGATGTTGCAGATTTGTAAATATTTATTTTGCAATATATAAATATCGAATAAATTTTCCACACGCAGCGTATATTTAGTGAATATTTGCATATGAATATCCATATTGGATATCGAGATGTCGAACAAATTTCGAAATACTATTGCTGTTATTTTACCGTTGTGTAAAAAACGTTTTGCACAAAGGATATTAGATAACATTTGTTTGTATATAAATGAGGTAAAACAAATTTGGGAAAAAATATACGGGATACGATAATCAAACTGTGTGTCATGCAAAATTTTACGAAGAATTATTCATTCACAATTACGTGACGCGATTTGTAATCGTAAACTCTGTGCGAATTTTATATATTTCTGCACTAATGTTATAATTCTAGAAATTGCGCAGTAAATTAAATTACCGTCTAGACGCACACACAAAATCTTGCAATTTCTGATACAGCGTGTGAGAGCAAACAATATCTTCTTAAACGAGTAATCTCTCTTCCACGACAAAAGATTTGCGTTCAAAATGCCCCTTTGTATCCTAAACTGGGAGTTACGCTGCTTCCGGTTGCGGAACGCTTACGGTCGAAAGTCGACTAGACACAAAGTCGTTCGCGTTGCTAACCGAATAGAATTCATAATCGATGCTCGCGTGCTCGTATAAAGCCCGGGCGGCGCGCACGGCGCGTACACGTATAATAGTAACGGTTCAAATTATATATAATTCCTAAACGACAGGCTAACGAGGCGGTAGTCGTGCCATTGAACGCACTTCTACGCGACCTGTAGCGTCCATTTAACAGCTACACATTTCGCGCCATTGTGATCGGAAGGGCATGAATGAGGTCATCTTTCGGCGGTCGGTTTTGCTCGAACATATGGGTCGACGGGAAATACACGAAAAGTCGCATTAAATCTGTCGTTACATGTTCGCCAGCGGCCAGAAACTAGGAAAGTCCATCAATCGTACGGGCCATTTGCGCTCTCATAACTATTCTCACTCAATTAGCGATTAAGCTCGCTTTGTTCGCGTCCCCTGCCAGAGGCACGGAAGATCGTAAACCTAGCAATTGTTCGCTCTTAAATGCCGTTCCAATTAGAACCAGGGAAAAGTCCACGGATGCAACACGGATCGATACAGTTGTTATAATAAATTCACTCGCATTCTCATATGTTATTAAACCGTGCCAACGTTGTTTGCCGTAGAGAGAGAGAGAGAGAGAGAGAGAAAGAGTAGTTCATTCACGTTAATGATAATAAATTTGTTCATAATAAATTTGTTCGACCATCACCGTGTTTTAACTTTGTGCAGAGTTTTATTTTTGTTGTCGCTAATGTATAGTTTTACCAAATTTAACATTGGTAACAATGTAATTGCGAAATTCTTTATATCTAAAATAAGGATATAATGTGATTTTAAGATGTGATAAAAGAATAACGCAATAAACTTCTTCCTTGCCACAATTACTCGATTAAGACACAAGAAATTCTTGCAAAGTTTTGCGCAATGTTCTTCCAGAATGCTGCAACTTAGAAACTGTTATATTTGTAAGAAATAAGGTCAACAAGTTGGACGTAATTCTGATTTTGATACGATTAAAGAACAGTTTGTGTGATATCGTGTGTGTGTTGGAAAATCCTTCTCGTATAAAAGTTTCCTTTTTCTTGACTTTTTCTCCGTTACAAAATAATAGTAAAAGTATTTCCGAGACTTTATTCTCTTTATTATCATATCAAAAAGAAAATTTAATCGAAATCGTTGCAATCATTGTTACGATATATAATACGTAATAAAATATAATATAATTGCTTCAAACAGTTTATTATCAGTTATTTAACAGTGATTTTATTTCGTATTCTACTGTTCAGCTCCAGGAAATGACGAGCAATTTGGCGATCCGCTTGTTCACGCGGCGCGCGGCTCGATTCGTGCCTTTGTAATCACCGACCGAATAGAATTATCTCCGTCCCGCAGATCGGCAACGCGGAAAAGGGAAGCCAAATGCAACGGACGTGCGCGCGCTCGAAATGTTATACATTAAAGGCAGCTCGACGCGCGGGAAAATTAGGAAAGTCAATTGATCGTTCGATTCCCCCGCAATTCCGCAACAATGCTCTGACCATATAGGTCCCAGACAAGCCCTCGGTTTTCTTTGTATCAGGTGACCGGTCATTTCACCACGTTAACTTTCCGCGACATGCTTCAGTTTCAGCTGTTACCCGAGCTCCGCGCGAAATGGTGGTCGAACAAACCTCGAAAGGGCGAGCTCCGAAAATACGAGACGAGGGTCACGAGGACTCCCGCGTAAGGTCCCTTTTTGTCCCATAAACTTCCAGCTTTGCGCCTGCGTAGTCGGCGTTTCCATTAAAAGCTAAGCTGCATCGATACCGACCACTCGCCTCTCAAATCCTCGATGAGATTACGTAAAGGAGTTATTTTGCTGGACAGCGCGCACGTGGCAAACGTGGCTTATTATTGCACGAGCTTTCGACAGCGGTTCTGGCTATATTCTCGTGGCGTATCACGGTCGCTCGTTTCCTCTCGGATGGGCCGCAAATGGATGCGATTTGCGAAATCTCGCGGCGGCAAAGTCGAGCGGACGAACAAAACGTGCGCCTTCATGTGCGGCTTCACGAAGAAAAACGGTCTTGCGTTTTTTCATCGTGATTTATCGCACTCCGTTTACGCCTACTGTTAAAGACGAGATTTTCGTTGTCAAGTTTCGGTTTTCGAGTATGATGTACGACATCGGAGGCTGGAAGCAACTTTTTATCGATTGAGCTATCATACGGCAGTCCTAACGAGTGTTTAAGCGCTCGTCGCGTGGCAATTCACCGCCATTTTCCGCCGTCGAATTCGTCGTCCCCTTTTCCTCGACTTCGGGACGGAAACTTACAGCCATGTAGAATAGAACTCGTTAAGAGCCGGAGTTCCTCGGCGTATTTTCGGTGATAGGATTTCGAACGTTTTACAAACCATTTTCCCGCCTGTGTACAATCTTTCGTGAAAATCCATTTAACTACGCGTGCGATAACGTCATCGCGATGGCCGCGAGACTTTTCAATCTTCGTCGAAAGAAGCGTTCAGAAGCGACGTTTTAATAGATCTCTAAACCGTCTTAATAGATCTTCCGTCGAGAGAAACGGAGAAACGTACTCGAAATGTCTGCACAACCGAGCAGGTAGGATCTTCAATGGATATACACCTGCCCGTATATCGTTCGGTCTGTACTTGACAAGAGCCCGTTCGGAAGACAAATGGACACGCTGTCGACCTTGCATACCCTTGCGAATAAAAAAAAAGAAACAAGAATTTGAAAAGTGATTTTGTTGTATACTAATTCGTCACGCGCGCGTCTTTTACAATGAGCGCGCGCATTTAAGCATTCCAGGCATACCGGATGGTCGTTCATTATGCTTTCCTCTACACGCCACGTCTTAGTCATATTAAGGAAAGTGTAGCGTGTTCCTAACTTCTACCTAAGCGCGTGTCTGAACTATGGAATCTCGCTTAATATTGCGATTTTAGGAGTGAGAGAAAGGCAGCGATGCGTCTGAAGTTGAACTTCTATACTTATCTGGAGTAACTTCTTCGCTCAACGTGATTGATTACATTATATAATTTATTAAAGAAATATTTCATAAGAAAAAAAAATATACGCGTATTTATATTTTATACGTTGAGAGAGAGATTTTTATATTTATAAAAATTTACAAATTATTATTAAAGGAAAAATCTATACTTCTCGTGATCTGTGCATTAACAATGTCTTTGTACAGCTATCGTTCTTTGTTGAATGTCTCGTCTGAAATAGTGCTCGTCGTAATTTAATGTGTATTAACGGTTCCGTATCTGAGAGTCACGCGTGATAAGGAAATAAGAGTGACGCGGGTCTACTTGAGTAGTCTGCTGTGCGCGAGTTTTTCGTACGTGCGGTGCAGGTAAATAAGCGTGAAGCCGAAGAGAACGGACTTGGTAATCGATGATCCGGAATTCCTGTAAGAAAATATATATCGCAAGAAACGGCAGACCAAATGAAGGAAATGGCTGCGCGTCCGGAGACGCCAAGTTTCTTAATTATCAGTTTCGTTTCCGAGTTAATTGCGTCCGAGTTAATTGTAATAATCCGCGCTTAGTCTATATACATTTTTCCTCGTCCGGATCGATTACTTATCTCTCGCGCGCGCGTCTAAAAGCCATGCGCCTCCAAATTAATTACAGTAGGATGCTATGTCTATATAGTATACCTCTTGCTCATTATAATTTTCTACACGTTGTACAAACTGCGCGATAAACTTTATAGCACGTATTACGGGGAAGATTATATCTGAGCGTCAGTTATGAACACTGAAAAAAGTGGCGTCATTAATCAAACTGCGAAGATCGCGACAGCTTATGTCAAACTGAGGAAATCTCAAAGAAAAGTTTATGAAAAAAGTTAATATGCATTTATAGAAGTTACAGAGCTGTGAGAAATATTGTTAAAATCAGCGGTAATTCTACACGTCGACGAAAAATTAAAATAAAATGAGAATTTCACACGTTTATCTCGAATTCTTTTCTTCGTTAAAAAAAGCAAACAAACAAACAAACAAATTGCAATATCATATACACGTGTGTCAACATTATAAAGTAGGACACGTTACCAAGATACAGGTGTTGGCGAGGAAAATAAATTCTACCGTGCATATAAGATTATGTATACACGTATATGTATGTCTAGTCACGTCTCCGGAGTGATCCAATGATCCGGAAGACGCGTCGCGCGCCGTCCCTGGCGCTTCCCGAAAGGATGTTGACGAGGGACGACGAGGGTTT